ATATATATATATATATATATATATATAAGCAATATTTCAATCACAGAAAAAAAATAAAGGAAAATTAAATTTTATTTGTGTTTTATATATATATATATATATATATATATATATATATATATATATATATATAAAGGAAAATTAAATTTTATTTGTGTTTTATATATATATATATATATATATATATATATATATATATAAGCAATATTTCAATCACAGAAAAAAAATAAAGGAAAATTAAATTTTATTTACTGCTTATAGAATATTTTGATTCATTGACTAACGTATTATTTACAAGACATATAATTCATTATTATCTTCATTAAAAATACCTAATATATGTATATATATATCATTTTTCAGCAAATACGAAATCTGTTATTTGATTTTTTTCAATTGATATATCCTTGCACTGATGTACGATTGTGGGAAGTATCTTACAAATGGAAAATGGAGTACATGTTTAATTTTATATCAAACAGCTTACGCAATAATATTAAAGATATAGATTATGAATACACATATATTACACGTTCAATAAAGGTAATGTATAACATATGTGCATAGCATGATTGTTCGCATAAAAACAAACAATTATTTCCTCTGACAAAATTGCGTCTCAACATTACTTTTTAAATGAGAGCAACTTTAATTCAACGAATAAACGCTTCGGATTATACACTTGAATCAGAGGCGGTATGATATATGTGATATATTTCAGCGTGTACGCTATTTTACTATTTCGCCAAAAGTTTTTCAAGAATTATGCATCCAAATATTATTTTCAATATAACCTATTTAATAAGAAAAGATTTTTTAAATTCACATCATCGAAGCAACGAATCTGAAAATAAATTAAGTATATTAAATAACACGCAAATAATTTTGATCCAAAATTATTGCTTTAAAATTCTAAATAGATTCTAATTTTCGACTCTCAAAAGAGCCGATTAAATGCTTTGGAGCATATTCATATTTACAGAACAAATATATGTATACAAATGGAAGGTTTGCATTTCGAATATATGCTTTCAAATCGTGTTGCATTGAAAGTAACAATATTAGAGATCATGCATAATTCTTGTAAACCTTTGGGAAATTAATAAAATAGTGTACAATATATCAAAATAGCTGAAATATATCGCATATGTCGTGCCGTTTCTGATTCAAGTGTAATTTGAAGCGTACATTCGTTATCTTAAAGTTGTTTTTATTTAAAAAGTAATGTTCAGACGCAATTTTAGAAAGAAAGAAGTTGTTTGTATTAATACAAACAATTATACTGCATTCCTCGTTCGCGAATTTTGGTACATTCTGTATGCAAATACATATACTGGGTGTTAAAAAAGTCTGAACACGGTCGAATATCTCGATAAGGAAAAGTTTTACTAGAAAGTATTTCAGACAAAAGTTGTATGGCTTCAAGGGAGACCTAATACGGTACCATTGGTTTGACCTTGAGAGTTATTTGAAGGTCACATGAAGGTCACCTTTAATTGCTCAAATAAAACTTACTCTTTCTCATTACATATTCTTGTAGCTTATCTCGACAGTTTTCCACAATACTATAATAAAGTATTTTTACATTGAGTACTTTTTGAGTTGTGAAACTTAAAATAATATCTTAATTTTACATAAACCATAAAATATTTAGTAAAATATACATTTTTAAATTATCTTACCTTAATACTTTTATGTACAAAATAAAGAGAGGAATTAATTGGTGTAAGGAAAACACACAGTTGTTTTTAAGAAAAAAATATGTAATTGTTAATTGCAAATTACTTTTACAAATATTTTTTCTTAAAAACAATTCTGTGTTTGCTTTACACCAATTGATTCCTCTTATTATTTTGTACATAAAAGTATTAAGGTAAGATAATCAAAAAATGAATATTTTACTAGATATTTTATGGTTTATGTAAAATTAAGATATTTTTTTAAGCCTTATAACTCGAAAAGTACACAATAAAAAAATACTTTATTATAGTAATTTGGAAAGCTCTCGAGATAAGCTACAAGAATATGCAATAAAAAATAGAGATTTTAAATTGAAAAATTCACTATGGCCTTGATATATCTTTAATAACGCCGCTCAAAGTCTAACTAATATTATTATCTTCTGTCCCTCTCAGAACAAAACAATATTTTTCTAAAAAATTTTCTTCTAAAATTTACAGATTTGGAGATATTTGAGTGGACGTATTAAAATGGCCAACCCTGCATATATATATATATATATATATATATATATATATATATATATACACGGTATATACACATATGTATATGTATAAATATATGAGTTCAGATGTCAATATTCAGTGACAACCTCTATATTCTTTAAATAATTACAATAATTACTTTTGAAAACACTTTATAAGAGATATTGGTTAAATTTTATTATTATACACACAATTATTATGTTTATATAGGATGGATCTAACATCGTCATAAATGAGCAACCGAAAATAAGAAAAAATAATATTAAATTTATTATTGGTATGATCGTAAGGCACTCATCAACTTCATCTTGGGCTTCATGTAATTTAATTAATTATGATGGCGTGATAATTGGTTGGCATTACAAATGTGAAGCTGCATTTGTACATGAGAATTTGAATTCTTTAATTCCGCAACTGAGCGAATGCTATGAAAATCAGCACATTCTGCAAGTTTCATATCTACATTCATGTAGATTTGAAACTTGCGAATCAGACAAGTCGATATATATCCGTCAACCGCACTATATAATTCTTACAAATGATAATAAGATATGTTATGTACCACAAGGTATATATGAAATATTAGTAGCATTCTCTTTTATAAATTATATATATTTTATATGATTTTTCATCTTTCTAACATACGCAATATAATTAAATATATTTCTTTTCATTTTAGGTAAGGTATCAAAATGTCCACCAAAGTGGATCAATAATGCAGAAATAGGGCGATATTTTACTAAATTTGAAGGCAATTATTACGTACCGAACGAAAACTTGGCAAGGAATTATCCTGCTGATATCGCTGTAATGCACAAAATATTTTCTAATCAATAGTGTGTATAATAATATCCATAATACACACACACACACACACACACACACACACACACACACACACACACACACACACGTATGTGTAAGGACACATTTTAACAAAACAAACTTTTTTATTAATGAATTAGCTTGAATTTCCACAACAGTTTCCATCAATTCCTAATTTCGATTCAATGATTCTCAATTTAGCGCTTGTTATGTGCAATGTGTTATACAATTTAAGAATATAAACAAGAATATAAACTTTATCAATTTCATATTATGTATTAAATAGACATATGCGTGTCTCCTACAGGGTATTCTGTACAAGCTATCAGAAAAAGATCGGGAAATATTTCGAGAAATGTAAACGTTGTAAAAAATATTTAATACAATAGAAAGGTTTAAGGTTAAAAATGGTTGTATGGTTTAAAAAAATCTGTTTAGCCTCAGTTTGATCTTGATGCCAAAGTCAAGACAAAATTATCATGCAATCAGAGAACCAGCGTGTGAATATTACTGCTAAGAGAAAACGCATTACTGCTAAGAGGAAAAAAATATACTTCAGATCTTACCTGATTAATACTAATCTTTTATATATATTTCGTGGTAAATATTGAAAACGAGGTAAGTTAAAAGTTCTGCGCCGCGTAACGGCAAACGAAGAAACATATACCACATACTATTGGCTATTTTAAATAATACGTTAATTGAAACAACAACATTCTTATTTAAATCAGTATTATTTAAAAAAAAACCGTTATTTGTCCGTTAAACAATATAAATTAATACAACAAAATTATAAAATTTTTATTCAAACAAATAATGTTTAGTATAAAATAATTTTTTCTTTAGCGAAAAAATATTAGTCAAACAAATAGATCCTACTACATGTAAAGAACGTTTTTCTCTGTGTATATAATTATTATATGTTAATGTATTTTTAATAAAAATTCGAAAAATATCCATTAAACTGTTTTATAAATATATATTTATAGTAATTTATTTCTACAAGCAATGAAAAACTATTTGGTTAAGATGTAAAAAAGTTATATTGGCATTTTTATCATACGGTAAAGATACTACTCAGAAAAGGAAATAATCGATATATCGCAAATTTTAAAATGCGTGTCGGTATAATTAGGGTCGCTGAAATAAATTGTAATTAAAACTTAAAAAAATAATATCTTTCTAAACCAATAAATGAGTACAAAGTATTTGTTTGTAAAAAAAATAAAATTTTCTCTCATCTATATTGAGGAGAAAAATTATACAAAGAATAATATAAGAAACGATACAACAAGATTGAATATAGATTTCAAAAGAAGTTTTATTATATTTATAAATTAAAATTGAAAATTTTTATCGTATAGTTTATACTGTGTAAAGCAGAGCTGCGAATATTGACATTATACATATTACATCGACGGTTCCTCGCAGTTTCTTGTATATTTCGCGATCATATATGATTCATTCGATTATCTAATTTTTCTTAAATTTTTAATTATAATAAATATAATATAATACTGTAACAAATATAAAAATAATAAAATTAAGAGCCAAAAAATGTCGATACGATTATAACTCTAATAAGAAAAATATAATCTCTCTCTTTCATTCTTGCTCAGCGCATATATATAAATAACGATGAAAAAGGCAAAAAATTTCTTTAAAATAACATTATAGAATAAGACCGTAAAATTATACATCTCCAAAAGAGAAAAAAGATTGTCCAGAAATTCTTTCCAAAAATTTGTCATACGTACCTGCTGCTATGGCCTAACTTTTTTGACCAATCAGGACGGAGATATCCCTCTTGTTCTGATTAGTAAAGCAAATGCTGCGAATCATTTCTAAAGAAAAGGCATCTTTAGTCTGAACCTGAACGTGCAACATTCAACGAAGTGCATGCGACGTAAACGTGTTACAAGTAGGAGTAAAATTTGTGCGCACATATTCGTATATATATCGTATATAAGTATATAAACGAAATTAATGGTGCGAAAATAAATAATATCGGTTGCGAGCTATTTTGTGAACTATTGAATTTTTTACGATGCTTACGGTAACTCATTTGCCAGATGAAATAATTGCTACAATTTTGGAAAATAAGAACATTAGCATGGAGGATATCATGAATCTTAAATCCACGTGTAAGAGATTGCAGCATATAACATTTAGCACCAAATTTTGGGAAAAGAAATTTTTGCAGAGGTATGATTTTAAATATTTTTTTATTAATTTTTTTATGTGTTTATTTCATATTTGGACGATTTTCGCTCAACGAACTTTCGTGAAAGTGATAATAAAAAAGTAAAGTTAAAGTTATTATATTGTTATCTTATTAATTTATATTGCTTTTTCTACTATATTGAGTTTCTAATGTTACAATTCAAGTCGATCGTAATAAAGGATCTAAATTTAGTAAAGCCAAAATTTTACGTCTAGAGCCTCTACAAGTCGTAAAAAATTCTATTAATCATTTCCAAGTAGCTCTATCGATAAAGATAGTTTACTATTATTCGAAATATATGACTTATTGTTATCATAGATTAATTTCATTATTAATTTCATCGTTTCCTTGCATAGACTTTATTATTAAATTGTAATCATATTCTCTTCTCTTATTATCGTTTTCGGTTATAGCACGCTAAAAATATATTTTGACTTGTATTATTTTAAATCATTAAAAATATATGTTTAAAAATACAGTTTTTTATGTGTTTAGTAATTTTTTTAAATATTTTAAAATTATCTTATTATGTAACTAAAAAGAACTTTATTTTATAACATAAAACATATATGTAACGAATTTAAATAAAAGTACTGTCACAATTTTTCATATTTTAATATTAAAATTTAACGTGATTACTCAATGTTTGTCTATATCAATATTTATAAAGGTATTTGTTTTACATTCTTTTATTTCAAGCACTTCTTTTATATTTTAATATTTATTTATATAATATTGTAATTAATTTTCATAAATTGAATATTTTGGAGTGGAATTCATAATAAATCTCATAATATTTCCAGAATTTTATTTTTAAAATTTTTTATTTAAACTTTATGGTTTTGAGAATATTATAAAACCTAGCCATATGTAATCAATTTTATCTATTTGTAGATTGTAAAAATACAATACTGTGTTATTCTAAAATATTTTATCAATTTTTATTTTTACCTTAATGGCTTGCGTAGATCTAAATATCTCTATACAATTATTTTCCATTTGATTTCTCATTTAAACATGATATAAAATAAAATAAAATTAAATAATGCAAGATTTTATCTCAGCACGTGCATCTCGATATTACAAGGTGATAATTATACAGATATAAAGAGCCATTTTCGATTTCAATACTTTTCACATATGTTGTCAATACTCTGAGTAATGTTATAACGGTTTTAGCTCGCGCTAGTTGTTTATTAAGTTATCAACAAAAAGAGTTTAATAATTTTAGAACATAATTTTACGGCATACAACGGTTCTATAACGTAATTCAAACCGAATTGTAGCTTTTAATTAGAAATAAATTTGAATTGATTTTATACCTTCTTAAAATAGAATCTCCGTAAAGGAGGGAGAGGGCGGAACCCACTGTGTTCACGCATGTACTTTGCAAGACAAAACAAAATTACTCTTATTGTTAGCAAGGATTAAAATTATATATATGGTGCCAAAAAATCATTAAATTAAATATTATTAAATATATTTTCGATAAAAGTTGTAGGATTCAGAAGGGGACATTTGATAATCACCTTAAATGAACGTGACAAGATCATATTGAGCTCAATCTTGTTTCTTGAAAATCTTACAGGGGCCAAAAGCTCGCTAAATGACCTTGCTCTCTACTTTTTATTTCATATTCTTGTAGTTCATCTCGATAGCTTTCCTAAATATTATAATAAAGTATTATTAATTGTGTCTTTTCTTTACACTAATTGATTTCTCATATTATTTTGTGCATAAAGGTATTGAAGTGAGATTATTAAAAAATGAATAATTTACGAGATATTTTATGGTTTATATAAAATTAAGAAATTACAAGTCTCATAACTCAAAAAATATTTAACAAAAAATTTTTTATTATATTGTTTTGAAAAGAACTCTCTATATATGTGCAAAAATATGTAATAAAAAATATAAACTAATCTGATGTACTCCTCCAAACTTTACAACTTTTGTCTAAAATATTTTTTCATCCGATCACTTTCTGTAATGTAAATCGGGGTGCGAAATTAAAATACATCCTATATGTATGTATAATTAAAAAATATAATAAGTGTTTATTTTGAAATACAAAAATTGTCTACAATTATTGTTGATATTTATTGTAGATATTGTTAATTTATTGTTGATAATGTTTAATATATTTTCAAAAAACATTTTTTTCAATTTTAGATTTTCCTTGTCGAAAAGAATACATAATAAAAAGAGATTGAAGAAAAATGTTAACCATTTGGAAGCAAGTCTAAAATGTATCAAAGAACTACGGCATTATGTGTCACTAATGTCTTATAATAACATACAGGATACCAAAGAAATGGAATTGAATGGACTTCTGTGTTCCATAGCTCAACATTCTACAATTTATCGTTTTGTCTTACATGATATAAATAGAATTATTTCTGCACAATTATCATGGTAAAATTTAATAAATCAAATTTTTGGTAATATTATAAATTAATGTAAATATTACAATTAATATATAAATTTTATTTTCAGTCACAATTGCAATTGGACAGTTAAATATTATTTCCACCTAATTTATCATTGGTTAAAACAGTATCGGTTAGCGTACAAGCAAATCAAATTTATACACATGCCAAGGGAAACGCAACTTTTAGAAAAGCAAATTACTATTATTGCACAGTATTTTCAACCAAGTGTATCTTACTCAATCATTGATACGTGGCTAGATGATATTGTACAAGTAATATTATCTCGCCTTAAAAATAAATATCCTACACATTCTATATTCTCGACGTCTTCTGATCAATTTATTTCATGGAGAAATAACAATATCAACGATAACTTCTGGAATCAGATAGAAGCCCAAGAAATTATGTGTATTCTTCAAGAAATTATATTTTCTAAGTTTGGTGTTCATCAATTACAACAATTATTCTTAACATTAGAACTCGAGGAATATATGAATCATGTAAGTTATTTTTTTTTATATTATATTAAATTGTAATAATACTTTGTTTTGCACTTCACAAATTATATATCATATCTTGTAAATGTTAAATATAATTTTTCTTTAATAAAATTTGATGATATAGATTTTATTTTACGAAGAAAGTCTATTGCTTATTATATATAACAGCGTGGCTAGAAGACTTGGTATATGTTATTTTCTGAGGTATACAGACAACTTTAGAATGGTAAACATATGGAAGCTAAATTGGTTAGTAACAATTTTAGCTGCAGAGCTTTTCAACCTATCTATATATATATATATATATATATATATATATATATATATATATATATATACTAGGTGCGCAACTAAGTTTCCGGGTTTCACACATGATTGGCACCAACGACAGATGTAGTCGACATTACATGTCTGAAGTTGTTTATTTTTATAGCTCTGACATCTGTCAACAATTACCAGTCATAATACCAATACGTGTCGCAACGCAAAAATATTTTTTCTAACAATGGAGATGTCGAGTTTTGTGCCAAATAAACAGCATTTGCGGGAAGCTCTGCTTTTTTGCTTCAACTTGAAAAAAAATGCAGCTGAAGCACGTCGTTTGCTTGAAGAGACTTACGGCGAACATGCACCATCGAAAACAACTTGTGAAGATTGGTTTAAACGCTTCAGAAGTGGTGATTTTGACACTAAGGACAAGGAGCGCTCCGGAAGACCGAAAACAATTGAGGACGCCGATCTGCAAGCGTTATTGGATGAAGATGATACGCAAACACAAGATCAACTCGTGGAGGCATTAAACATGACTCGTCAAGGTGTTTGCATGCCATGGGAAAAATTCAAAAGGAAGGAAAATGGGTGCCGCATGAATTGACTGAGAGGCAGATGGAAAATCGAAAAGCCACTTCAGAAATTTTACTTTTGCGGTATGAAAGAAAGAGTTTCCTGCATCGAATTGTTACTAGCGATGAGAAGTGAGTGTATTTCGAGAATCCCAAACGCAAAAAATCGTGGCTTTCACTTGGCGAAGCATCAACATCGACGGCGCGGCCAAATCGCTTCGGAAAGAAGACGATGCTCTGCGTTTTGGTTGCGAGCTGTTGAAACTAGGCGAAACTGTTAACGGGGAACACTACCGACAACAACTAATCAATTTGAGTCATGTGTTGCTCGAAAAACAGCCAGAATGGGACACGAGACACGAACGAGTGATATTGCAGCACGACAACGCTCCGTGCCATCGCACTTCCATCGTCCAGGACACCATCAAAACGCTGAAATGGGATCTGCTACCACACCCGCTATATTCACTAGACATGGCCCCTTCTGATTATCACTTGTTCCGGCCAATGGCGCATGGCTTGGCTGGGTTACACTTGATTAGTTTCGAAGAAGTGCGGAATTGGATAGATGAATGGTTTCGGTCCAAAGACGCGTCGTTCTATCGTCGCGGTATTCATGTATTGCCAAAGAGATGGCAAAAATGTGTAGCTAGCGAGGGACGATACTTTGAATAAACCGCTTTTTGTTTCTTTCTTGAAATTTTGCATTTTTCATTGATCAAAAAAACCCGGAAACTTAGTTGCGCACCTAATATATATATATATATATATGTATATACATGTGCAAATATATATTTTTTAATATTTTTAGTTGTACGGAAGATCATCAGCTGACACAATCTTTTTATAAGGCGAAACCGGTGCGACGATATTTCTGGAGCATTGAAAGAATAATAGGTTGCATTACGTATCCACTTGATCAGTTATATAACTTATTAAGCAACTTTTTACGTAGAGGTTTTTTTTACTAATCTTAGTAGGAGGTATTTAATGAAGATAATACTCAATTATATGTCTTACAAATAGCACGTTAGTCAATGCATCAATATATTCTATAAGCAATAAATAAAATTTAATTTTGCTTTATTTTTTTCTGTGATTGAAATTTTGCTTATATATATATATATATATATATATATATATATATACATACATATATATGTGTATACAGGGTGTCTGCTAAACATGCGGCAAAAATTCAGGGGGTGATTTATTGGGTTATTTTAAGACTTTTTTGTTATCTGATGATTTTCGAAAAAATGCTTTGTTTCGAAAATAAAAGCAATAAAAGTTTTTTAACCATGTTTTTTATTCCATAGATAACAGGCGATACAGGTTTTTTAACAAAATTATTGAAAATTACAAGAAAAAAAAAAAAAAATTGGTCAAAAAACTTTTATTGCTTTTATTTTCGAAACAAAGCATTTTTTCGAAAATCATCAGATAACAAAAAAGTCTTAAAACAACTCAATAAATCACCCCCTGAATTTTTGCCGCATGTTTAGCAGACACCCTGTATATATATATATATATATATATATATATATATATATATATATACATATATATCATTTTTCAGCAAATACGAAATCTGATATTTGATCTCTATAAATTGATAAATCCTTGCACCGATCCACGATTAAGGGAAGTATCTTACAAATGTCGTCGTTTCTTTGCATACACCTTATTATTAAATTATAATCATATTTTTTTCTTTTATTATTGTCTTCAGTTTTAGCACGCTAAAAATATATTTTGACTTGGATCATTTTAAATTATTAAAAACATATGTTTAGAAGTATAATTTATTTACGTGTCCGTAATTTTTTTTAATGTTTTAAAATTTACTTATTATGTAATTAAAAAGAACTCTATTTTGTAACATAAAACATATATGAAACGAAATTAAATAAAAGTACTGTCACAATTTTTCATATTTTAATATTAAAATTTGTAATAATGTGATTGCTTAATGTTTGTCTACATCTATAACATTTATAAAGATATTTTTCTTACATTCATTTGTTTCAAGTACTTCTTTTATATTTCAATATTTATTTATATAATATTCTAATTAATTTTCATAAATTGAATATTTTGGAGTGGATCTCATAATATTACATGAAATTTTTTCTTAACATTTTTTCTTCAAACTTTATGGTTTTTACAATATTATTAAGCCTAACCATATGCTATCAATTTTATCTATTTGTAGATTGTAAAAATCAAATACTATTTTATATTCTAAAATATTTTACCAATTTTTTTTTTCAAGGAGATTCCATTTAAAGGAGAATCTTGATAAATCTCTTGAGAATCTTGAGAATCCTCTCTAACAATAAGAATAAATTTTGTTTGGGTCCAGAAAACTCCTGAAATGACCTTGTTCTCTATCTTTCAATTCATATTTTTGTAGCTCATCTCGAGAGTGTTCCAAAACATTATAATAAAATATTTTTTGTTAAGTACTTTCCGAGTTATGGGGCTTGAAATATTTTTTTTATTTTACATAAACCATAAATTATTTCAAGTCTCATAACTCGAAAAATACTCAATGAAAAAATAATTTATTATAGTGTTTTGGAAAGAGCTTTCGAGATAAGATGCAAGAATATGTAATAAAAAATATGGAGTTCGATTTAATAAAACAAAGTTCAATACCACATGACCTCAGCACATTCACTCAAAGTCAAACCAATGTCACTATCAGATGTCCCCCTCCGAATTCTACAAATTTTGTCTAAAATATTTTTTCATCGGACCACTTTCTGCAATGTTAATCGGGGTGCATAATTAAAATAACACACCCTGTATATATGTAATTAAGAAATACGATATGTGTTTATTTTGAAAAATAAATTTTGTTTATAATTTATTGCTGATGTTTGTTGTTTAACACATTTTTGATAAATGTTCCTTTCATTTTAGCGTTTCTTTGTCGAAAAGAATATAGCACAAATATAATTACTTTGTCGAAAAGAATACAACATAAAGACAAATTGGAGACATTTGTTAACTGTTAACAGAAGCATGTGTAAAATGTAAGGCAGCACTATCGTATTATGTGTAACTAATGTAATCTTACAATAACTTACAGAATATCAAAAAAATGGAATTGAATAGATTTCTGCTTTCTATAGCTAATGTGACGTTCTGGTCGTGATCGCCGGACGTGACACTAAACATCCTATAATTTATTCTATAATTTTGTTCTCGATGATATAGATAGAATTATTTCTGGACAATTATCATGGTAAAACTTAATAAATCAAATTGCCACTAACATTATAAATTAATGTAAATATTACAATTAATATATAAATTCTTTTTTCAGACACGATTCCAATTTTACACTTGAATACTATTTCGGCCTAATTTATCAATGATTAAAACAGTATCGGTTAGCGCACCAGCAAATCAAATTTATATACATGCAATTTATATACAAAAGAAAAGCTGCTTTTAGAGAAGCAAATTACTATTATCGCACATTGTTTTCGACCACATGTATCTTACTCAACCGTTAATACATGATTAAATGATGTGGGGCTGAATAGCTCAGTTGTAAGAGCAGTCGCTCGGCAAGCGAAAGACTCGGGTTCTATTCCCTATTCAGCGACTTCGCCCCGATATTTTTCTCGTCTACATCTCTTCAGGCAGGTAAATAGGGGTTTTCATATAAAATTCTCAAAAATGAGAATCCATATCTTGGTAAATGCACCAAGTAAAATATATGCATATACCTTGTGCACGTTCCAATTTTCGCGAATAATTATTCTTTAATAAAATTTTATATACTACATCCGCGGTGGCTTTTAATTGCTCTTTTCTCGTGTATCGTGATGGTTAAATGATATTGCACAAGAAGTACTATTCCGCCTTAAAAAATAAATATCCTATCATTGATACATGACTAGATGATATTGTACAAAAAATACTATCTCGCCTTAAAAATAAATATCTTAAACATTCAGTATTTTCGACGTCTTCTGAGCGATTTATTTTTTGGAGAAATAACAATATCAATGATAACTTTTGGAATCAGACAAAAGCCAAACAGATTATGTATATTCTTGATGAAATTATGTCTTCTAATCAAGTTTATTCAAGTGTTCATCAATTACTTCAATTATTGGTAATATTAGATGTCGAAAAAAAATTTATAAATTCTGTAAGTTACTTTTTTATTATATTAAATTATAATTTTTACATATTAATTTATAACTTTATTATGCACCGTGCAAACTATGCGTTTTACATCTTATAAATGTTCAATATAATTTTTTTCTAATAAAATTTGATGATATAGATTTTAAAACATTTCAAAGGATGTCTATTGTCTATTATATATCCCAGCGTAGCTAGAATACTTGTATGTTGCTTCCTGAGTTATAAAATCAACTTTATAATGACAATCATACGGAAACTAAATTAGTTAGTAACGATTTTAGCTGCAGAGTTTTTTAACCTATCTGATATACATATACATATACATATATATATATATACATATATATACAAATATGTATGTATGTATATTTCAAAATTATATATAAATATTTTTTAATTTTTCCCCATAAAGGTATTATGATATCGT